GTGTTAATAGAATAATATTTGGGGCAATCCCAGGGAAGTGTATTTTTTCAAGTTAGTAAACCAGACTGCAAGTGTGTCACCACAGTCAGGTCATTTTCCGTTTAAAGACTCCCTCTCGTGGAAATCATTCTCACTGGCTTGTTTTGACCTATTTTTCTAGTAAAAGTCACTCCATATAAGGTCTTGCAAAACTTGAAAAGGATTCTGTTGCATGGTGTTACCTGTTTTGAAGTTTGAACCCTGACAATAACTGACAGGAGTCCTACATCTGTACTACATTGCCAGCAGATTTTCTATTTTTCTATTGAATCTTTGCTTTTCATCACTCAGAGATTTACTTATTTACTATGTAGATAAAGGGGGAAAAAAAATAAGTTGTTTTTCATCAGTGCTTTTCACTCTGTGAGGTTTCTGCCCTCAGGAGTGTTATCTACCACGCAGTTTCTTCCTGATAGAGTTTGAGCAATAATTAGGGGGTGGCTGATTCATGGAAAGCAGAGGATTCCCTGGGTGTTGCTGCACTAAAGAAATGGAATTAGTAATGCCACAGTAATGGAGATGGAAAACGCCCGTTCTGGAAAAAATATTTCCATAGAAATGTTATGGCAGTGGGGAAGCTGCAATTTGAACCTTGGGCACTGACATGCAACAGAATCTGATGCTTTTCATAATGTGTAGGACTGAAATAAAATCTTTATTGGGGAAATTTATTGATACAATTTTACATTTCCTGAACCACTGATTTATTTTTTGAATCCCGTAAGCTGTGAGATTTGGGCAGCATGTAATGGTTTTAGATTTCTACTATCGCATGCCACAAGTGTTTAAAAAGCCGATTTAAAATAATCAAAGCCCAAATGAACAACTTAGAGCATTTCACGGGACATGGCAAAGCACCGGATGATGTTACTGGAAACTGATTGGGAGCTCTGGAGCCCCTCAGAGGTGCTGGACACTGTGCTACAGCCCCGACCTGCACCGTGCCGGGCTGCTCCGGTTCGTACCATTTCCTAGCGAGCTGGTGCTTCCGGCCGGGTCACTGCCACTTTTCCAGGAGGAAAAACGCGGAAATCCGGGATTTTCCGGGATGCCGGAGGCCGCGCTCCGCCCTGAGGCGCCGCTTCTCCGCCTGAGGGCGCGCGCGCTCCCGCGCTGCCCCGCGCGCGACCCCGCCCCG